TTTTAATCATTTAAAAAAATTTTAAAAATTACTTTGAAAAACAGGTTTTAATTTTTACAAGCAAAATGCTAAGAAAATAAGGAATCTCATGATTTTGTTTTACTTGGTGGACTGATTGTGTAGGGTGAGAGAGACAAGAAGAGGAATAAAGAAAAAGGGTAGAATCATGCAGCAAGAGAACCAAAGAGAGGTAGCAGTGAAAAAGAGAAGGAGCAGTAATAACAGAAGTGCAGGAGGAGCAGATCAGAGGAATTAACTCATAAACAGTATGCAAAGTTCCAGGGAAGCTACATAGCCATGGTCTACACTAGGGAGTTATTTCGAAAGAACTCCCCTTACTTTGAAATCACAAGCGGAGCGTCCATACTACCAAGCCTGTTATTTCAAAATAAAGGGCTAGTTATTTTGAAATAACAACTCCTGCTTTCCATGAGGAAAAATGCTTATTTCAAAAGTTATTTCAACTTCCAAAAGTGGATGCTCCACTGCTGCTATTTCAAAATAACTACTCCCCACCACAGTCATTCAAAGTAATTACTCTTCAGTGCTTCTTGGGGCTCTAAGTTGAGGTAGCACGTCCACATTAAGGGAACCTACCTCAGACCAATTTCAAAGCTTCCCTGTATGGGGACACGCTATTTCAAAATAAGTTATTTCAAAATAATTTCCCAGTGTAGACAATCCCTTATTGTTACCTGCCACCTCTGTATGAAGGTTATGAGTAGTAGTGGTGATGTAGAGACATTGCTCCTGTGGAGTCACCCTCACCAACAGTGCCAAGTGTGACGCTCCCCAGCTCTGCCTCAGATCCCTTCTGATAAAGAAGAGGAGCAGGAGCTACCACATCCATCTCCTGGTTCCTTAACCACACCTGTATCTGCACCATGGAAGAGCTTACCTCAGAAAAGGTGAGTGGGCCCTTCAGAAGAAAAGGATGCCCATTGAGCAGCTGAAGGTGGCCCTGCAGGAGAGGGAGAAGGCAGCGACAGAAAAAAACAGCATAGTGGCCAAGCAGGAGAAGAACCTGGTTACAGGGTGCAGGCATCCTTCCAATGGATAGCAAGATGTAGGGTCATCTTTTTTCTTCTGGATTCTCTATGGGTATGTCTACACTACCCTCCTAGTTCGAACTAGGAGGGTAATGTATGCATACCGCACTTGCTAATGAAGCCCGGGATTTGAATTTCCCGGGCTTCATTAGCATAAGCGGAGAGCCGCCATTTTTAAATCCCCGCTGCTTCGAACCCCGTGCAGCGCGGCTACACGGGGCTCGAACTAGGTAGTTCGGACTAGGGTGCCTATTCCGAACTACATGCTAAACAGGATAAGCTCCTAAACAGAACTGCCTTTTCCTTTTTCCATTTAGTAATCCTGTATCTTGAGAAACCACTAGATATTCCAATGTATGCATGTCAGGTTTTATGATTTTAGTTAAGGAAAAACCTAAAAAAAATATTTTGGATTATAAGACTTAGCCAGCATTGCCTAGGTCCTTCAGGGCAGGGTGCACGTTGTGTGGGGGTGAAGGAGTCAGGGCAGGGCCTTGGAGATGGGCTATAGGACAGGAGATTAGGAAAATGGGGGCGTGAGAATGAGAGTTGGGGTATGTCTACACTACCCCGCTAGTTCGAACTAGCGGGGTAGTGTAGACATACCCTAGGATACTATTCTACAGTATCAGCACTGCTACTGAACCCCACATAGGAGACAGGTCTTACTGATCATGAGTGAAGTACAGATTAGGGATGTTAGATATCTTGTATTTTAGTAATAGTGTAGCCGCAATAAATGTTACTAAAATACTCCCCGAAAGCAGGGCTGGCAGCCAGTGCTCTCCCAAACTCCAGCCCCACTCCTAGGGAGCCCCCTGCTAACCTGTACTGCGGCCTCTGTATCAGTGGGCAGCAACCCATGTTTGCGGGGGGCCTGAGTATCCCATGGAGCAGCCTCTGTGCACAGCGAGCCTGGGACCACTGCGGACAGAGACTCTTCTGAAGTAGCAGCCTCTGTCAATGGGGGGCCCAGGCTCCCTGCAGAGAGAGGCTGCTTCAGCATTCCACCCTGCCACCCTCAGAGGTGGGGTGCCTCTCCTCTAAGCTGGTGCTTGTAAGGAGTCAGTTTCTAAGTCAGCTCCTACCTGTCTCCCCTGCTGCTTCTGTGGAAAGCAGGTTTGTATGTGGTTACGTGTGAATATGCATATAACAGAATAGTGTTACATTTTCAATAAAGATGGCATTTTGCCGTATCCCTTTAAAAAGATCCTGTGACATTCTTTCAAGTATAACAGTATCCTACATCATTACAGATAACTGGCAGCGCTACCTCGTGACAGCCAAGAGACATCCTAAAAGCTTCTTTTTCACCTCCTGAATTATACAGTTTATGTCTATGCAATCCATGCCCACTATCCAGCCTCTGCACAAACCTACACAGAAGCCAGACTAATCACTGGTGAAAAGACAAATGCACTCACATCAGCAAACTATAGGTGTATGCTACTCAGCAACAAACTACACTGATCAACAACAATTCAGTAAGGTTCAGAGAAAAACACAGAGTAAATATCTGAAAACAAGCAATCCCAACTCCCCTCCAATTTAAATTCTGTCCTAAGTCCATCACTAAGGACCTGATCCAGAGCTCATTCAAGACAACAGAAGTACACCCATCGACTTCAGTGGCCTTTGGATCAGAGTCAAACAAAGAACTGCCCACCTCTCTGTAAAAGGCTATGGTTAAGTGATTCAACCACATGCTCCAAGATATATTATAGTTACAATAATCCAGATAGGGACAAGAAAATCTACACTATTGAAAAACATACTGAACAGATCAAAAGTTATGGAAGAGAAAACAAATTCTGCCCTCTACCACTAAAGAAAAGAAGAGAAACGTAAAATAAAGTAAAATGAAAAGTATGGGGTTTTTTTCCTGTTTGCAGATTGCACTGAATTTTTATGACAAACTTCATTATCAGAATTGGCAAGCAAAAATATTCATGTATGGCAAAGGGACATTTTTCATCAAAATTAGTTTTCATAGGAAAGAACTGTACTATTAGGCTTTGTCTAGACTACGCCAAAGTTTTGAAAGAGGATATGCAAATTCTGCAGGAATTTGCATATCTTCTTCAGATCTCACTTTTCACAGCAGAGCTTTTGAAAGTGAAAGTAGTCGAGATGTGTTTTTTTCAGCAACCGCCCCCCTCTTTTCGAAAAGCCACTCTTCCTCAAAAAATGAGGTTTACGTGGCTTTTCGAAAAAGGGGGAGTTTGCCGAAAAAAATGCATGCCAGCAACTTTCACTTTCGAAAACTCTTCTTTCGAAAGTGAGATCAGAAGAAGATATGCAAATTCCCGTGAAATTTGCATATCCTCTTTCAGAACTTGGGCGTAGTCTAGACGAGCCCTTATTGTGGAGAAAGGACAGGAAGGGAACTCTTGTATAAAAGAATGTTGCTGTGCAAGGAGAATAAAATATAAATCATGTTTTTATGTCATTCTACATTATCAGTTTCCTTCCAGGGATGAAAACTGTTAGGTACTAAACACAGAATCCTCTTTGCTATGAACATAAAAATGAAAATTATATTGTATTTTCTCAGTTTTCTCAACTGAGCCCCAAACTCAATTCTGAAACAAAACATAGAGCTAAAGCTCAAACCTAGATCCAGAGTTTGCACAAGTAATCAATTCCAACTCCCTGTGCCCAGTTTAATTACAAAACAACATTTGGTGCAGCTTCTAAATGCTTAACTGGTGATCTCTTGGTTAATCCTATATACGGTATTTACAGGTCTTTGCTTTACTGTAGCCAGTACAATTATTTTAATGTATATGCAGCTCTGAGTAGACTGTAACATTACTAATAAACACTCTCAACATTCATACAGGAGCCTTTTGCAGATTAATATATTTTAAATGTGTAGCTTGAATTGTTAAGACTTAATATTCTCTCTCTCTCTCTCTCTCTCTTCCCTGTTCTCCCTGCCTGTCTGCTTTCATTTATTATAGCTAGATGGGCAAGTGAGGAAAAGTGATGCATGTCACAGGTTGTCAAACCAACTTCATAGCACACATCACATACTTTGTTTTTTAATACAAAGAGATTATCTAGCTCCCAGATATTTCTAACAACAAGGCACTTTACTTTGCTCACCCTTAATATTTATGTGTATTGCTCAGTGGGACAAATTTATCAGTGAAATTACATCAGTGAATTCAGCGAAGTTGACCCATTGAGCAATAACTCCATGTCTTCTTGTTCATTTTTCATTTATTGTTTATTTTCAGCTTCTCTTTCTCAAGAGGCCACTAAAGAGGATTCCTCTGAAAAAAAATCTATGGAAAGAAGAGCCCAGTACTACATCATTTGGTGGCCACACCATACATGGCCAATATATGAAGAACAATGAATTCTAATTGAAAGGCTTCACCACAAACATTGACTATCCTGAGCGAAATCAGGAATATTACATTTTCACTCTCAATCTGTGAGGGTATGTCTATACTAGTCCCCTAGTTCGAACTAGGGAGGCTAATGTAGGCATTCAAAGTTGCAAATGAAGCCCAGGATTTAAATATCCTGGGCTTTATTTGCATGTTCCTGTTGGGTCACCATTTTTAAATGCCACTAGTCCGGACTAACTGCCCGCGGCTACACGCGGCAGTCAAACGTTAACTTGAACTAAGTCCTTAGTTCGAGTTAACTGTTATACCTAGTGGAATGAGGTGTAACAGTTAACTCAAACTAAGGACTTAGTTCAAGTTAACGTTTGACTGCCACATGTAGCCGCGGGCAGTTAGTCCAGACTAAGGGGATTTAAAAATGGCGGCCAGACGGGAACATGCAAATAAAGCCCGGGATATTTAAATCCCGGGCTTCATTTGCAACTTCGAATGCCTACATTAGTCTCCCTAGTTCGAACTAGGGGGATAGTGTAGACATACCCTGAGACAAGTGACTGACTAAAACCACACATTTGTTGAGCGAACATCTTACCATCGCTGTTGATACAGACCACCTCTGGAACTTGAGTGCCAGGTCCACATTGCTTCTCATTGTCTGGTATGCACTCTTCTAGTTTCACTATTCGCCAGTCATAGCAAGAGGGCTCCTCACATGGGATAGCTTCAAGAAGATGAGGGCAATTTCCTGTCCCTCCAGTACCTCCTGTAGGTTCATTAGTGATGGACCGCTTCCTTAATTTAAAACCTGAAGTGAGAGTAAAAACAAGACAAAAATATAGTAAAAGATAAAATGAAAAGCATTTGTATCTGCCAAAAGCTGAGTGAAGGGTTCTGTGTTTCTTCTGTAATAGTCAACTGCATATTTAAAGCAATAAAGGCAGCTGTGTTCTTTACTCTGCTGAGACAGCAGATGTCGTGAACCTGGAACAAACAGTTCACTGAAATGATTTGGAATGTGTCCTGGTTAAACCCCTTTTTGTCCCTTTGGAGTACCCCTCTTAGGTGAATGCCTGATGTCTGGCACTTCATTCTGAGTGGAACCACAGGTCCAACCACTCTGTCTTGGGTTGGGACTCTTGGCTGAAGCCCTCCCCCCTGCATTCCCAACCCATGTTAAGACTGCTTACACATTTCTACACGCTTCATGTCCAAAAGAGGCATAGAGAGTCTGCAACAGAGGCCCTCTGTTTTGACAAACTCAAGCAGTAGGGGGCAGAAGTCCCAAGCCAGGTGCCCCATGTACTGACTGCAGCCACGAGAGGAGGGGGGGGACAGGAAGCCTGGGCTCCAGCTGCAGCTGTGAGGGGCAAAAGCCTCTAGCCCAAGTGGGGGCAATGTGGAGCAGAAGCCCTGAGCTGGGAACCAAGGGAGGAAGGACAGAAGCCCGGAACACAGCTCTGGGGCTGCTGCAGGGTAGACGTGAGGATGTGCCACCCTCGTTTCTGTGCTGCCTCCAGAGGAGGTTCATTTTCTCTTTAAGAGTGGCCGTGCAGGGAAATGGTAACTCCTGTCCCTCCCCATGTGGCCAGACTATAAGCTAGGAGCCCCTGACTCCCAGAAGCACAGGGAGAACAAAGAAGGGATTATTTCATGGTCTTTGACACATTTTTCATGGCCATGAAATTGGTAGGGTCCCAAGAGTAAACCCTATAATTACAAAACAATAAATAAGAGATATGCAACAGATTGCAGCTCAGTCCATATAATCAGCTATTTGTAACAATTTCATGCTCAAAACCATGGTAGTATAGATGCCATTTATCTGCTGAATAACACCTACAGTCCTATCAGGGAGGGAAGGGATGGAGTGTTCTCAGAAAGGTTTGCACTTTTTCAGAAGGGTATTAAAACCCCCTGCTTACACAGAGCTAAAAGTCTGGTCTGCATCTTACCACCCTTACATTTTCTCCACGTTGAAACATTGACAATACATATTTAAATACATGGAAAATAAAGTGTAAGTTTCCTGATAGCCATGTCTTCACATTTAAAAATGTCTTAAAGGGAGCTGGCATTTTTAGCAAGTGTCCAAATCTGAAACACAGACATACCCACACCCACAAATACCTATCAAATATTTGTATGGTAAAACAACAGATAAGTAACATAAATAGCAGCACTAAGAATAGGCAACCGCGTGTTAGCCTAATGACTGCTCCCCCCACCCCCAGGCCTCAAATTTTTGAAATGGTCCCTGCCAAAAAATTATTGCCCACCCCTTGGTTACACACTTACCCAATTACCCACTTTTTAACATCACTAGTAAGAAGTGTACTCTGCAAATGAAATCTCCTGCTCTAACATTTAGCCTAATAGTCTACTGGAAAATTTTTAAGGCAGTCTTGACTTGTAAATTCCAGAATGGCTTGGGAAGTTCTGACTTCAGAGACTGCAGCTCTTTTTTTCTTGTGACACAGTCACAATATATACTGTGATCTGGAGAGATATTCAAGCTGGATCCCCCTCAATTTAAGAAGAAGCCCTGCGCTTTGTAATTGTCCAGTAATAGCTGAGATCGGTCAACCTACAGAAATTACTAGAAAATCCATCTCTTTTCCAAGGCTTTTGAGAAAGAAGGAGAACCCTGAGAGGTGTTATTTAAAGGGTGGATTATATGGGTTGGGGTTTTGGGGGGGGGGGTTTGGCTGGTTATTTTCTGAGTTTGAAGGCTATTGCATGCTCTCTTGCTGGTATAAATATGACTATTATTGTATTGTCAAAGATGCCTAAAAATTGGAATTTTTTTTCAAGTATTGTTTACAAATGAAGTAACAATGTTGTTTTTGTTTTAAAAAGCAGGTACAGTAAAACTCCAATAGTCCGGCACTCCTGATAGTCCGGCATCAAAATGACAAGAGCCTAGTGAGTGAGCTTCGGCAAAAAATGAGTCACAAGGTAACAGCGGCAGCAGCTGAACTGAGCAAAAAGGGTAAAAAAGGCTTAAAACTAAAACATTACAGTATACTGTATACAGTATGTACAATAAAAAGGGTTTAGAACACTTTATATACAGTATATAATGTATACAGTATATATATATAACCAGCTTATAGTACCTCCTGATAGTCCGGCATACAGTATTTGATAATCCGGCACCACCTAGGTCCCATAGGTTCCGGATTATCGGAAGTCTACTGTATTTAAAATGTGTACATACCTTTTTTGGCTTGCTGGTCATCACAGCTTTCATAGGTGCATGGTCCCCAAGCTGTCCAAGCTGACACTTCGCATTCTGTTGGACAAGGTATATGGCACAATTGGGTGGTGCTGGGTATAGGTCCTGTGCACAGTTGCCGACTCACAGGCTTGGAAGCTGCGTATAAGAAAGATGACAGATGACATACCTTTACCACTTGCATAATGTTCTGCCTCAAGTTGACACCACTACTCTTCGGTCAGAAAATCTTCTGTCTCATCATTTTGATCTGATGAAGTAAAACTACTCCCCTAAAATAAACTTAGGGAACTCACTGCCTGGACTGAATCAAACCAGGTTATGTGGAATCAGGAAGATTCCACAAACACTGGCATATTCTCTAGGACTTAGCTCTTGCAGTTAATGAATGGAGTATTGGGCCCCTATGAAAATCAGCACTCTGCTCTCTTACTGAGTGCCTCTTGACTGGAAGAAAACAACAGAAATGTACATTTTCATTCACCTTAATAGGTTGTTGCAAATGCATAGCCTAGTTATAACCACATAAATATTAACACTTAGGTATCAACCAAATCAGAGACATTGAATTTAAATCACTGAACTATAACAATGACAGATTCTTTTTGTTTTCCTTTGGCCATAAAGCTCTTGCACGCACACAGAAAAGCACCCACCTGTAGAAGTTATGAAGTGTTAGCTTTAATTGGTTCAAGGAAAACTGTATTTAACATACATAGCTTTTTAATCTAGTATACAGTATAATTACTTCCAACAACGTGCAATCAGACTGCACTGAAGGGATCTGTGCAGACTGGAAGCCCTGTTTCTTGAAGACCAGATAAGGCCCATAAGAGAACAGAACCACCTGTTCTCCTATAATACATGGAAAGCCAAGATACAACCTTCAGCACACTATAGCCCAAGCTCTATTGCCCTCTCGGCACAAAGGCACAATGGAATTCCCTTTCTAGCATGTTGCCTATATGTGTGTATCTGTTGCCAACCAATAAATGCATTACTTTATTACAATGTATTTCTACCAATAACTCTCAAAAGATCTTTCATAAGTCAGCACCTCACAAAATACTTAAAACTAAGCACAGAATGTTAGATATTCAGATATTCAGATTACCTCTGTCCAATTGATCAAACAGATCAGATATTCAGATTACCTCTGTCCAATTGATCAAACAGATGTGATTTCCCCAAAGTTAAAAATCATGACTGCTCCTTAAGAATTGAACTTTTAAAACAAGAGTGTTTTTTTTAAATTAGAGTTCTGTTCTGCCAGTGTTATTCACCTTAAGTAGCACCTCATGCTGTCTACAGTTCCATATTGATTACAACTACTTGTACAGCAAGATACTACTCAGGGGAAGCATAGGTAGCAGAATCAAGCTCCTGAGGATCACAGGAACACAGCAGTAACAGAGATTTGATGAATGAGCTGCATGCAATTGTCAAGGAAGTAGAGTCTCTTCAGGGGTGGCCCGTGCATATAGGCAGACTCGGCAGTTGCCTAGAGCACCGCATTAAACAGGGCACCCAATGATGACGCACTGCCGTTGAGGGCTTTGGATGCGGGGGCGCCCATCGCGCATTCCGCCTAGGGCTCCAGTTGCCGGCATCTCATCTCGGGCCGCCCCCGAGTCTCTAATTCATATGTATGTGCACTGCATGCACCTGCTTTTGCCTGCCTGACCCTTCAGGTAATACAGATCCCTTTTAGCCACAGGCCCAGCTGTGGGTAACTCATAGCTACATTTTGAGAGGGAGGGAAAAAGATGGCAGCATCCCATCATGATGCCTTGTGCATGGTTTTGTCCTGCTTTGCTCCATGAAGCAAAGATGCAGTGTGGAGAGGGCAAATAGCTATAAAACATATTCCAGAACTCCCAATGCCATCTTTTAACACAAGATGACAATACTGGAAAGAACAAGTCTAACATCCACGCAGTGCTATGGTGAGGACCTAAACCGCAATATACTGTAGCCTGCGTTAGGGTGTTATGGGGCTGGAGAGTCTTTCAGCCTCTCCTGTTGAGGCTGTTTCACTTTGCAAATGGTGACTGGAGTAGTGCCTAAGTCACTCTGATAAAGGTTATAAAGGGAGAGAGAGGAGGTGCCAGAGGCAGCATCACCATTTGTGTAAACTAAGTCTGTCACTCCCTTTGCTTTTGCTAAAAATACCAGAAATGTTACATTTCAAGTTGACTACAATATTTTGGTTTTGACATTAAATTAACTCCCCAATTTTTTTTTGATTCATCAAAAATTCCAAAACATTCGGATTTTGGTTAAACCTCAACCTATTTTTCAAACCTGTCACCAAATTTAAAAAGTAGTTCTTTGCACGGCATTGCTTCCCAATGTTCATTCCTAAAACACAGTTTTAGCTAAAAACTCATCAACAGTAATAATGACTGACTGCAAAATCTTCTCTGGGCCTCACCAGCTTCTCTGATACATCTCGAATTAATGTTGTGTGTCGAGTATACAGTGATTGACACAATGCAGCACTGTGCATCTCTGTGCATGACAAAGGGGCATTTCTCTTCAGCCATCATTTCCCTAACAATTCCAGGAAGCCACTGTGCACAGCTGATCTATCTGAAAGCTCCTGAAAGTTATGATTTCTTTTATACACATCACTTCGCATCCAGAGAGTTCCCAAAGCATTTTGTTTGCTATGTATCTAAAATTCATATCAGCCACAAGTGTTAGAGTACGATAAACATTATTTATTTTCTTTACAATACTGTGGAACAGAGGCAAAGATGGACCTTCTATTAGCATCTCAATCCCATTATCTTCAGTGGCTTTACTCTAGATTTACACCAGTGCAAATGAACTTGGAATCTGACCTCTGATTTGACTTGAGATGATTTGAAAGAAGCTACTAGATACAGAAGTTAAGAGACAAAAGACAAAAGACGTTTCATTGCTTCCCTTTCATATTTTCTTTTTGTGCATTTGTGGTAGATGTTGTGATTTGTGGTAGATGGTGCTTGGTTCTTTTACGTCCCCTGAACATTGAGTCAATAATGCTAAATCACACAGGCTCTGTGTGGTTTTCAGATAGTTTGCTCAAATTTTGGATACAGATGAGAAAAAACAGAATGTGCTTTGCTAACAAGCTCTCATTTTCCTCCTACCTAACCAGAAAATTAGGTTCAAGTTTGGAATGGTTTTCAAGTTTGGTTTGGGAGATTAAACAAATAAAAAATCCAAACAAAAATACACACATAGGTTTCTCCCACCTCATTTTCTCTTACTGTGTTCTAAAAATCTAGAAGTTCACCTTTCTCCTAAAGTGGGATAAAAATCAAACAAATTATGGGTTGCTAACTCAGTATGTCTAGTCCTAAAGAATAATACCTACTAGCAAGTGCCTAGAAAATAATTTGTTCTCTCCTGTACTCTTTATTGGTCAGATAATTCACTAGAGAAGTTCATGCAGCAAGACAGAAGTCTACAAGCATGAGGACTGTAGATTTTAATCAATTATCACCAGAAAAACACAAACTCCTCTTTTGGTAAACAGTGGACTAAATTCATTATGGACATGCACTAGCTCCATCTCTGGCAGAGTCCCAATTGATCAGTGTGGGTCCAAAGTGGCCATCATGGGGTCACACACAGACTGGTGCTGAAGATCAGCTAATTCTTTGCATTCTCTGGGCCGCTTCTGCCAATAGGGCCAGAGTGTTGAAGAAAGAGCATTTGTATATCCAGGTCACAGCAAGAGGGCACCATTTTTTTCCAGGACACTAGTTGCTCTACCCTCACAGGAGCAGAGGAAACAAGCATTAATAAACAACACCACACTAACAAAAGAGAACATCACATGTTTCCTTCCCAGTTTTCTATAATGTATCTGGTCGAGTTTACTACCACTTCAGACACTGATCCTGCAAACACATGCACACCCATGTATATCTATGTATGTAAGTAGTCTTTTTCAGGTCAGTGGTTAAGTACACAATTATACCAGAAGAGAGCCAAGGAGAAGTTGAATGATTTGCTTAAAGTATACAGCAAGTGAGTGCCAGAACAATAGAACCTAGAAAGCCTTAATTTCCAGCTACCTGTGTCAACTGCTACACTATACATCATACTCCTGCTCAGCTTGTAAACTTGTAATTTCTGAAATGAAGATCATAAATTTCTTAATCTGATTTATAGGTATATACCAAAGCCAAAAAGCTGGTATATACATTCAAAGTTCAAATTCTTATCTGAATTATACAAATATCCTGAATCAGCAAAACAGAGCTGAAAATAGCAAAGGAAAGTGGAATTGGAAGGCCAAAGAAATTCACAGCACTTCAGGGCCAAGATGGGAAGTGTAAGTGAAAAATATTTATCAGAACATTTCAAAACCCTGATAGAGGTTTTGTTTGAATCTGTGCTATTGGTTTGTATTACAGATCTGACACTTGATGTGTATTTTGCTCTCATTTTTTAAAATTATTTTGAGCATTATGAGTGAAACCCCACAAATACAGTTCTATTTTAAGAGAGAGACTTTTTTATATATAGCCAGCATAGTACTCCCAAAGGGGACAGTGCCTCCTTGCACACTTTTGATTGAAATGTCAGGTAGAAGGCTTTAATTACCTACCTGTTATTTCAAAAGTGATTGATAGAAGTGGTGCAGCACTAGACTTCGACTTGCTCTGTGACTGACTTTCTGAAATAACAGGGAAACACCACTATGAGTACGTGACAATGGAAGTTTCCAAAACAGCCTTGCTGAGATAGCATTAGCTGTTTATACAGAGCTACATTGTATGAAGGGGTTTCCCACTGCTAGAGTTGTGGGATTTTCCCCCTTCTGTTCTTGAATCTTTGTGTGTGTTTAATCACATCATTTAATCACACAGAATAGCTGTTTCTAAGGGTGCACAGAAGCTGCTAAAAATCCTCTTTAAGTCTGTCTCCTAATATGTAAATGTCCCCAGAGCTTTTTAAACTAAAACCCACTTCACCTCTAGTTTGAGCTCTTGAAAAAAGTGTTCTCATGTTTATGCATCCCCGACTAGTTACATTTTAAACAGCTGTCTGGGGCCTAGAGAGATTACCTCCTGATGGGCTCTGCATATTCCTGTCACATTCTGATAAGGACAGATTTCACACAAGCCTAAGCCAGCAAGACTTCACAGCCTACACATCATCATTCTGAATAATACACTGCTGCTGGTTTTACTGTTGACTCTCTTTAGTTGAGAGTTTGTCAGTCTTTACTTCTAAGGCAGGGGCCTCTAAACTTGGTCCCATAGGAAATCTGCCAAGAGCCCTGGGGCTGCAACTAATTTGTACCAAATGAAGCAGACTGAACACCTCCTCCCTCAAATACGCAGGTGCAACCAATGGTGCATAGAAGATTCAGAAAACAATCTTCCATTTGAATCCAAGCAGATGTATTCAAATGGATGCTGGGACCAGTAGTTTCCACAAGCTGCAGTACCACATTAAAGATATCCTATGCTAGAGAACTCTGTAAGCTTCAATGTGGCCATCTCCGTTCTGAATGTTTAACTATGCATGCCAAGTCAAGGGTGTCCTTTACCTTGAGTGTATGGATATATTTCTTTGTGTCAATGTAAATGTGTAGCAGACAGCTGCATAATGTATCAAAATAAATGTCATCAGAATTGTGGGCTAAATGCACTTAGTGTAATTTACTGTCTTGAAGGATTTCTAAATTACCAAGAATAAGTTGTTCATTTCAAGTTACTTTTGCTGCTGTGGCATAATGTCCGTTAATGTAAATTACTCACTGAGATTTTGTTCTTCAAAAATGCATATAATAATATAGTTGAACTCAGAAAATAATTGTATGTTAACTATATTGAGCTAGATGATTATAAGACCCCAATATCACAGAAACTGTCCAACTCATTAACATTATACCTATTAAGCATGGAATGTTTATTATCTACATTCTGCAGACAGGAACTTTCTTAAAGGTCAGATATAAAGTCTGTGGCAATACCAGGAACTGAACCCAAATCTCCTAACTCCCATTCGAAACTCAACCACAAGATTATCCTCTTACTTTCATCTGCAGCATATTTTTGTATCCAGCACACCTTTATGAAGGTAAGTATCCTCTAGCAAAATAACTACTTTCTTTGAAAAAGGTTAGGGACTGATTCTTCACTCATTTACACTGGTGTAAATCAAGAATCACTGGATGGAGTTCACTTACATGGATGTAAGTGAAAAGAAACTAGGGATAAGTTTTCCCTTCTCTCTCTTTTTTTAAGAGCTGTAGAGGCTGCAAGCATGAGAAACTTGTGGGTTTTTTTGGTTTGCAGAAATTCTCTTTATATAAACCTTTTTTCCTGTTTCAATTTTGGGGGTGCAGGTCCACACAAGTATCATGATGAGTTGCAGTTTTTCACAAAAACAGGAACTCTACATGAAAGTCTGTCAAACCATCAAATTTTGCCTGGTTTCAAATGAAAACAAATTTAGTGATCTTTTTGAACCTATAAAGTTGCTTCACATATATATTTCCATGTTGACTTTATACATGATTTACAGGGTTTTTTTTGTAGGTGCAACATATATAAGCACGAGCAGTGCTTTTTTTTTGTGACGATACTGCCCGGTACCCAGTACCAGCACCTCCAGACACAGTATCATCATTTCCAGTCAGAGCTCAACAACTTTTCCCTTCGAGTACTAGCACTTTTTTTTTTAAACACAAAAAAAGCACTAAGCAGAGGAAGTTAAAGTGATTTACATGAGGTCATACAGAAAATCTTTGGCAGAAATGGGACCAGAACCCAGAGTTCCTGACTCTGCGTCTTATATCTTTCTTACCACAACACCAGCTTAGAGTAAGGTGCAGACATTTGCAGATTAAAGTATGAATCCATCCCTCCTGGAATTAAATATTTCCACTTCAATTAGATTTTAAAAAATAGAGCACAGTAACCTATAATGAAATAAGACACTTGTGACAAAAGACAATGGAGGTCAACCCTCCCTCCCCTATCCTCTCCCCACATGCTGAAGTGTTCAGTTTTCACACTAATTCAATTGCAAGTGAATGAAATTTACCTTCTTTTTCCTTGAGGGTATTTAAATAGGAGAGGAGATTTTCATTAGCATGCACACAGTACACCTCACGTGTTTGAATTCCACCTCCACACAGAGCTGTCTGATTCCCTCGTCTTTTGTCCTGCTGACTAAGTAAAGGGTCAACACGACATTCTGTCCACTCTGTGGTTCTCCAGCCATACCTGAATCAAAGTAATTGAAAATTGGGTGGATTAGCTCTGTAAAACATGCACAGCCACACGAGATAATCTTGTATTAGCAAATACTAAGTGTCCTAATATTTCTGACTCATTATCTAGAAAGTTTGGCTCCTCAAAAATCTTTATTTTACAGATATGCATAAGGTTTGGGTTTCTACACTGATTGGCCTACTTTTCCATTATTTCATTTTTGAAGAGATTATATTTAGGAAGATATTTACTTAAGTTTAATCAGTGGAATTCATTATTTTACTGCAAGGAAGAAGAAAAATGTCACATGGAAAGAAATTGAGTTTTATGTTAAAATCTGCCAGCCCTCAGGTTTGTGACTTGGCATTTGTTTAGAACTAGACAGCTATAATAAAACAACACAGAACAAAAATCAAAGAAATATGAACACTGAAAAACTAACACCTGAAAGAAGAAAAAAAGGAAAATCATCCAATTTACCATTGATAAAAAGTATGAAAGTTTCTCCTGCATATCAAGGTAAATTTATAATTGTGCTTTTTATATCCTTTTTCAAAAAATCATTTCAGAGTTCCTTTTTCACCATCAAGAGAGTAAGATGGTTTCTCTGCAGCGCTCAAGCACCTCTACTCAGTACTGACAAATGATGAGAAGCTGTGAGCTATCTAATCAGTAAGTGCATAGAAAAGAAGATCTGTGACTCCAAGTTAAAACCTCAATCCGACTTATGAATTGAAAGAAATGTCATAGGATTCTCTACCCAACAAGTACTTTAAGGAGATATCAAGGGAATCATTTCTTAATGCTACTGGAGATAGAGAATGATATTTCTCCTCTTCAAGGAAAATGGTGTTCCATAGTCAAAATGCACAGATTCAAAAAGGCGTAACATCAAATGCCGTTTCCTCAACAGTTCTTTTCAGGCAGGTAAAAAGCAAAGTTGTGACTGTTAATATTAATCTCAATTAGATGTTAAAGATTAAAGCAATCTCCTGAATCTAAAGTGCTTGCTGTCAAACTTCCTACACTTTAAACAGGGCAAAATTATTTGCTATCACTTTTAGCCTCTTCCCCTCCTGATTTAGGGCTTAGGTCTTGCCTCCTTTAATCAGCCTAAATTCTCAATGAAGTCAGATAGGAGTTTGGCTGCTCAAAGAATACATATCAGCTTGTTACGGTGTGACATACTTAGTATGTGATTAGTGATAGAAATGTAGCCGTGTTAGTCATCATCTAATAAACCATCTTGTTAGTCTTTAAAGTGCTACATAGTCCTGTATTTTGTTTTAGTATGTGATTGTCTCTCCCTCCCCATACTTCAAACAAACAAGGATGGATTCTAGCAGAATGGACCTGTTGGAAAACTACCACTGAATCAAGAAATTAGTTTTACTATGCCCTTAAAGCTTTTTCAAAGTAGTCAGTACATGTAAGTGTATCAATGCACACACAGTTGTTCATATTTAAAAAGTCATCACTTATGAAGTTACATAAGTTATTTCTCTGTATTTAGAGTATGAAGTAACTTCAACTGCAGCTACATGGAAATGTTAGCTTTTAGAGGGATCACTGAAAATGCACACACATAACGCAAACCCTAATATTTTCTTTAAATGCACTTGCACTGTTATTCAAATTATCATCAGTGTCCTGCACCCTCCCATGGGAAGTAAAGTATTCATTTTGATGAGGTGGGATTCATTAACACTTACGTAATACATGGTGCCACACCATCTCCTTGAGAGCTACATTGCTCTGTTTCTTCTAGTTCTGGGCATTCACTTTCACTGCCAATAGGAAACTGCTTAATGGTCCGTGTTCTTGTACGATTTCCTTTAGGGGATGACATATCAAAACATGTTTTCGAACATGAGCTCCACTCAGACCACTCTGACACCTGGCACTCCTTAATGATCACACAGGACTGGAAGGTAATTGGCAACTTGTCTTGTTGGCAAAAGCTGTAAAAAGAGCAGTAAGATCTTAAGCACCTGTTCACAAGCAGTTACGAATCCCTATGTGAATATGCTATTCCCTGAACTGAAAAACACACCCACTTAGGAAGTATTTATTTCTGCTGAGAACTGTGGATCATTTTGCGGGTGTGTCAGGCCATATTCTGCAAGTCCTTATTCACACAAAGATTTCTCTGGCTTTAACTCTCTAAATAAGAGTTGGGTGAATAATATATGGCTGCTGGAAATGTCTTGTCAAATACAGTATAGCACCTTGCTTTTTTAGGGAGTGCAATGCAACAATGTTTTAAAGGAATATTGGGGTTAAATGTTAAATATACATTTTTACCTACCTGTCTCCACTGTATGACAATACAATAAATGAAAACAAATCGGTTTGCTATCACTTTTTTGTTGTTTTTAGTTCCACATTTGTGTGTTTAAAAACATCAGAATTCAGCATCAAAGATGCTCACAATGTGAAAATGGCTGGTCAGACAGTGCTGGCTTCTCTTCAGTTGTAGCCGATCTAGTACTTTACAAAACAACTACAAATACATTACATACTATTCTATGTAAGCAACTGATATAGTTGCAACAAATATGTGACAATTTGTAGGAGTTTACAGGGAGTTATGATGGCTGTATTATGATATAGTCCACACTATGAAATGGAGCATAAACGTGGTCTTTAATTCCCTTTTCCTAGGGCAATCTATCTGCTTCAACCCTATGGGCTCATCTACTCTGCCTCTTTTTTGCGAAAGAGGTAATGCAAATGAAGTGCTCATTAGCAACTTCTTGAGATTCATTTACATATTCTCTTCTGATGCTTTTTGCGGAAAAGGTTTTTGCGCAAAAAAAGTGGAGGGTAGACGGGTCCATTTTGCACAAAGAAAACTCTTTTGCCCAAGAACCTGTAAACCTCATTTTTTGAGGAATGAAGGTTCTTGCACAAAACTGACCCATCTACACTGCTTTTTTGTGCAAAAACCTCTTCCACAAAAAGCATCAAAAGTTGCTAATGAGCACTTCATTTGCATTGCCTATTCCGCAAAAAAGAGGCAGTGTAGAAGTAGCATTTGTGAGCTTTGCTTCACTCACGTTATATAGACTTTCAGGAAGACTTATGTTCCTAAATGCCTACATAAGTTTTGGAAAGACAACTTCCACACTTTAACAAAAAGTATTCTACAGAGAAAAGTTAAGCCTTTTGCATTATAGTTTGATTCACAATAATAAAGAAAATCTACAGAAAAAATAAGCAAAACAACATCTTGATTAGACTGGTCAGAATACCAATGCCTTCATCAGTTACAATCATTCATATTCATCCACTTGTTCTAATACAGGCTACTCAGTTTTGAACTAACTAATCACTCAGAAAAAAGATGTGCACATCACTGCAGATAGTTCAGTGTTAACATTCTGCTCAATAAAGCTTAAAACACAACGAATAGTCTAATAGCGCCTTAAAGGCTAACAAAAACATGTAGATAGGATCATGAGCTTTCCTGGGCACAACCCACTTCTTCAAATGAATTACAAAATAAGGATGGGAGGGGGAGAAGGAAAAAGGGGAAAGAAATAGTCAATTAGAGTGTTCCTGCCATACTGTATAAACCTGACAGAGAAGTGTTCTTAGAAAACAAACAATGGGTACTTAAGTTATTAGGATGTGGAAGTTAGTGTGCTAGCCAGGTAGTCTTCATTCATACCTTTATGATGGAATTCCTGTAAATGAAATTAAGTTCCAAGGCTTCCCTGTGTATTTGGTTTGTGAATCTGCTCAGTGTATGGCATGCCATGTAGATGGAACAGATAGCTCAGTGGTTTGAACATTGGCCTGCTAAACCTAGGGTTGTGAGTTTAATCCTTGCAGAGGCCATTTGGGGCAAAAATTTGCCAGGGATGGTACTTGGTCCTGCTGTGAAGACAGAGGACTGGACATAATGACCCAGGTCCTTTCCAGTTCTAGGAGATAAATTAATGGAGATTGCCTAACATATGTTTTGATGTATTTAGAATGGGATAGAAAATAATACTGCCAATTGCTGGACCAGTGTTATAGCTTTTGATGTATAAATGTGAATGTCAAAGGTGGGGAAAATTGCCTTTGTAGTGTATTAACTAGTTAATATCTATATTTAAGCCCAAGTTAATAGTATTGAACTTGTAAATGAATTCCAGTTCAGCAGTCTCCCTCCGTAATTGGGCGATAACATTCCTTTGTAGAAGAATAGCTCCTTTTAAATCCATTATTAAATGTCCAGGGAGGTTAAAATGTTCCTATGTGTTACCATTCCTGATGTCTGATTTGTGCCCATTTATCCTTTATCACAAAGACTGTCGGTTTGGCCAATATACATGGCAGAGTGACACTGCTGGCACTTGATGGCATATAACACATTAGAGGATATGCATATGAGCTCCTAATATTGTGGTTTATGTGGCAATTTCCCCGCCTTTGATATTCACATTTACACATCAAAAGCTATGAATGGGACATATTCAGCCTGACACAATTAGCTTAACACTGGTCTTACAATTGACAAGTAATTGCTTTTGCTGTTATATATACCCTGGATTCTGTAATTTCCACTCCAACTCATCTGACAAAGTGGGTTTTACCCATGAAAGTTCCAAGGCTTGCGATATATTTCTTAGTCTCTAAAGTACTATTGACTATTTTATACAGTTCTTGGAACTGTTTGAGATTATTAGCAGGTGTATGCATGGGTGGTATGACTGCTTCACCTGGCAAGGAGGAGGAATTATTGATTGGGGAAGTGTTCTCATTGTTAGTGGGACTGTGATCCTCCTCACCTTACAGCTTGTCATCTAGGAAGGCAGATGCTGAGTTATGTGTGTCAGTAGAGGGTAATCCAATGGCTTGCCTAATTAATGTGGATGGGATGGTGTAATAATGTTATAATTTGCCCAAAGGCACCAGGGCAGCCACTGCATAGGGTTAGATAATGGTAGGCAGAGCCTGGGGTCCCCATACCACAGTTGCACAGGGCAGGCATAAGTGATCGTAGGGTTGGTGGGCTCCCATGGAGGTCTCCTTTGTATCGGAGAGGAGTGTTGAGGGCAGAAGCTGCTATTGCGTCCACTCACTTCCACTTCACTGTGTGGAGAGGAGGGAGCTGGAGATAGAGCAGGCTGATTAGAGCTGCTGCTAGGCGACTGGTCGCTGCTGAAGAGTGGAGATTGCAGTACTGACACAATGTTGATGGCCTTCTGGTGGAGGAATTGTGTTGGTGCCCATATCTGTGGTGCTGTTCTGGATCTGCATACCTAATTAGCAGCTGAGCTCAGTCCCATGTTGGATCTTCCTGCCAGTCCCATGGTTCGTATCAGTGCTGGTGGAAGTGGCATTTCCAACCATGTCAGCTTTGGTGCTGGATCGTGTGTTGCTATTGGTGGTGTCATTGAGGGGACTTTGTATCTTGGCTCCAAATCAGCATATTTGGGGTCAGCAGATGTCTGTGCTGAGGTGGTGCCAGATGTGCCTATGGACTCAGCAGTGTAGACTCTAGAGGAGCTTGGCACCAAAGGCAAAAATCTCACTGGGGAAGGTCTCCTTTTGTGAGAGACCCGAGCAAGAGAAGGTGAGGCTCACTTCTTGGAGTGAACACTGAGCCTTGTTCTTGCTGGTATTAAGACCATAAGAACGACCATTCTGGGTCCATCTAGCCCAGTATCCTGTCTGCCCACAGTGGCCAATTTTTGTAAGACTCTGGAGTCTTCTCAGAGAGCTGTAGGGATTTCTTTAGGAGAATCATCTTTAGTCCAAGCCTTAAGATTACTGCAGTGCATGTATTTTTGGAGGTGTAGGCTTCCCCTAGGCAGAGGATGCATGAGTAATGGCCATCAGAGACCGACATGGCTTCATAGCACGAGTCGCATTTCTTGAAGCCGGGAGAGATGGTTATAGTGACCATAATTAAGTGTTAAGGAAATGTTAGGAAGAATCACTACTCTAAAGTACTGGGGTGGGCTGTAAGGAGGAAAATAGTATTTTTTTCCTGAAAAACTAGAGAATTGGGGGTAGAGGTGAGGAAAGTAATGAACTTTTCTATTTCTTTCTTCTAGGGAAGAGAAGTCAGCACTGTTGAAAGGCTCAGTTTGCTGCTGACAATGGTAGAGAAGGAACCGAGGAGGTGGCACCAATGGCACTGTGAGATGGCTATTGCACGTGTGTGATGCAACTGATCACAGCTTCCAAAATTCTCCAGCTGTTGGCATGAAGATACACTGTCATCTGAAGTGGAGCAGCTCCAGGGACATTGCTCAAAGAGGAACACCAAGTTTTATACACATTAAGTTTACAATAATTTTCTCTCTGGGGAACTGAATGTTCCTTTCTAGACTACTGAGTATTAACATCATTAGATCTGTCTTCTCTATTGTTTCATTACATTTGATATATCTTGGCTCCAACTGTCAGGTTCTGTGAAATGTTTTCTCTCATGATGATGCCAACATCAATATCTGAACTGATTAGCAGAAGAAGCCTAAATGTACCTGCAATGTATTGGCAGAATAAATAGCCTGAGCCTCTTCTGTTTTTTTCCAGCTAGCTTTACAGATAAGCATCAACACTTCCACAATGTGAACATTTGCTTTAGGGAGAAAATGTGGGTTAGGTAATATCTTTTATTGGAGATATTTCTGCTGGTAAGATAGACAAGTTTTCAAGCATACACAGAACTTTTCTTTAAGTCCCCTCAAAAGAGCTCAGTGTAAGCACTAAAGCTTAGGAGTTGGTCCAATAACAGACTTTTATCTCACCAGATTGTGTCTCTAATACCCAGGACCAGCGTGGCTACAACAATACTGCATATAATATATGCTTTACTTTATTAACTTGTCATGTATATAACAGGCTTTGATATCCAGCAGTTAGGATACTGGAAATGTTAGTTATTAATCCCATATACTTCAAAATGGGAGTAAAGAACATGGTGCACTAACTCAGCTTTTATATATAGCTAGTATTA